TATACATGTATATGTATGTGTGTGTGTGTGTGTGCGTGTATATATATATATATATATATATATATATATATGAAGCAATGAAAACAATTACCGAGCTTCATCTTCTGGATAAGAATGCCAAGTTAGTTTCTCTTCATAAAAAGCAATTACAATTTGAGGACACTTCATATTTGCCTCTTTTGCCAGCACCGAGTGAACGTCATCTAAATCTTTCCGTTTCATGAGGAACATTAATTCTGCACTGCTGTCTGTGGCACCAATTATTCGTTCAGGATCAAGACCTCTGGTAAAGGCTCTGGGTTTCTCAGCACCATCTCTTTTCTTCTTTGACTTGCTATCATCAGATTCACTGTCAGATAAAGATTTTCATTTTGTGCCATCTTTTTCTTTACCAGCTTTTCGGGAATTAAGAAATGCCTCAGGGGCGCCAGGGTGGCTCAGTCGGTTGAGTGTCAGACTTTGGCTCAGGTGATGATCTCTGGGTTCGTGGGTTTGAGCCCTGCATCAGGCTCTGTGCTGATAGCTGGGAGCCTGGAGCCTGCTTCGGATTCTGTGTGTCTCTCTCTGCCCCTCCCCCACTCATTCTCTGTCTCTCTCAAAAATAAACAACAACAAAAAAGAAATGCTTCAAGTAACTCTGGACAATCTAAATTTTCTTCAGGTTCCCAAGTATTTGTGTCAATTATCTATACAAATCCTTTCAAATACTGCCTTCCATTCATTAGAGTCTGTCAGTCTTTTCTCCACCATCTCGCTCTCCTCTTTTACTCTTTCCCTTCTGTTTCATTCCCTTTTTTTGCATTGTGGTTTTACTGGAGGCCTTTTTTTTTTTTTTTTTTTTTTTTTCAGACTTGAAGGACTTAATTCACGCCTCCGGCTGCTCAACGTGTCCCAGGGGGATGGTCCAGCCCTGACTCCCTCAAGCACACAACGACCGCATCCGAGGGGGAGGTCAGACATTAGCCATGCCACTAGCGGCAGAGGGTTGCTGGAGGGGGGGGGGGTGGCACCGCCCGCTCCGGGCGGCTGCGAGGAACCGTATTTTTTACTTTGAAAAATAACAAACATATGTTGCTTTTGTAAAATGAAAATATGAATCCAGGTAATGAAACTCATGGTACTGAAGAAAAGTGTCTGAAAAAAAATATTAAATCCGAAATGCTAAGATTTCACTGAAAACATATGAACTAATAACAGACTGGTGGTTTAAGAGTAGAAAAAAGAAAAAAACACTTCCCTTCAGTGGGCTGGGTGAGAAGGAACAGCATTTCTAAGTATAAGTATGCCTTACATGTATTTGGAAGCCAGTAAGACATTCTCTAAGAGCTGAAGCAACTACTTGTTTCTAAGACTGCTTCTTTTATGGATCGGCTTTTTTTTTTTTTTTTTTTTTTTTTTTTTTTTTTATAGTTACACCCCCCCCTTTTTTTTTCTGGCCGTGAAAATGTTTATAATACATTCATTCCCCTTGGATCACAGGCTAGGAAAAGTGATTAAACAACTGTCTTTGTCTCCCTCATTACTCTTTACTTATATTTGGAACCTATTTCTTCAAGAGAGGGGAATTACTGAATAGAGATCATCATTGTTGCAGGATACTTTCTGAATTCATGCTTATAGTATATACCATACACTTATATAGGATATAATACATATACTGTGTTATGAAAGGCAAGGGGTACTATGTATTTGCTACATAAGAATGAACAACTTGTTAATCAGATTTTGCTTTCCATTCTTAAAACACATAGGTACTTGCCTGTGCATGCACACAAGTCCCACAGGGCTTGAATTCAAGTGTAAATTATTGCCCTGATTTTGTATTAAGGTTGAGTCATAAGGGCTTTACGGTTTTGTTAGCAGTGAGGAGAAGAAGTAACTTGAAAGAAGATTATGAAGACTTTCTGGATTCTAAACTCACAGCATTACATACACATTGTTGCTTTTCTTTTTGTATCCCCACTGTAAAAGGTTGTGAAATGCTTGCCTATATGCTTTAGCTGTCAATTATTTTATTCTGTCTGTGATTCAAGATAGCAATGAAAATTTGAGTATCTTAATGTAAGTTTTGGGAGTGTCTAACTGGCCTTTCTGACCATTACTGCAGTCTTACATCAATTCATTGGCTGTATTTATTCCATGAATTATCTGTTTTTAGTTTGTGCTTGTTTCATGTGGCTGCTATAACAAGTAAGCACAGATTTAATGCCTAAAACAGCAGAAATTTATTATCTCATAGTTCTAGAGACCAGAAGTCCGAAATTAAGGTGTAGCTTTCTAGGGGCTATAGGGAAAATTTATTTTCTTGTCTCTTTCAGGCTCTGGTGGCTCCAGGCCTGTCTTGGCTTGTGACTGCTGGATTCCAATCTCAGTTTCCATCTTTACCTGGTCTTCTCCTCTGTTTCCCTCTCTTATAAGAATGCATATGATTGCATTCTGGGCCCACCCGGATAATTCAAAATAGGCTCTTCCTCAAGAGCCTTAAGTTAATCATATCTGCAAAGACCCCTTTTCCACATAAGGTAACGTTCACAGGTACTGGGATTAGGACATGGCCATATCTCTTGGGAGGGGGGCACCAGCCAGCCCACTGTTGCTCTTTATGTTCTAGGAAGATAAGCCTTTTATTACCACATGTGCTGTGAATTTTCCAATTTGTTGCTATTTTTTTGAGTTTGTTCAAGGTGTGTTTGCCCTGCCAAAGTAGTTTTTAAATTAACTTTATCAGTCTTTTCTTATTGGTATTTCTGTCATACTTTGGTAAGCTGTTCTAATTCCATTATTGTAAAAATACCCTCCTATATTTTCTTCTAGTATTTTTATGGTTTAATTATTTAATTTGGGTGGGCTTCATATTGGAGTTTATAGTTTCATTATTTAATGTGACTGGAGTTTGTTCTTTTAGCAAGAAGTGAAATATGGATACACTTAAACATTTTGACAATAAGAAAATAACCTTACATAGCAGTTACCATATACCAGGAATTTTTTAAAGCTCTCTAGCTATATTAACTACATTCTTACAACAGTTATATCAGGTGGATGTATTATAATTTTCCCCATTTTCAGACCAAGAAATTAAGGCACAGGGAAGTCCAGCAACTTGCTTAAGATTAATCGACTGTAGGGGCACCTGGGTGGCTCAGTCGGTTAAGCGGCCCACTTCGGCTCAGGTCATGATCTCGCGGTCTGTGAGTTCGAGCCCCACGTCGGGCTCTGAGCTGACAGCTCAGAGCCTGGAGCCTGTTTCAGATTCTGTGTCTCCCTCTCTCTGACCCTCCCCCGTTCATGCTCTGTCTCTCTCTGTCTCAAAAATAAATAAACGTTAAAAAAAAATAAAAAAAAGATTAATCGACTGTAAATGGCAGAGCCAAGATTTGAACTTAGGCATTGTGGTACCAGAGGTGATGCTCTTAGTCACTAAACTTGATGTCTTTTGGTGGCTAGTAGATTGACCTGACACTACATGTTCAATAATCTCTCCCTGTCCTCATGTGAAATGCCACTTTTATCATATTCTACATATTTATATTTTGACCTAATTCTAATCTCTGTTTTGCTCCTGAGTCCTTCTGAACTCAAAACCAATTCTATCAGACTTATTTCATAGTGAAAGAGGAAGGTCAACAAGGGGAGTTCATGAGCAGAAATTCAAAGCAAACCACCAATGCATGGCAACAACATGGGTGTTTGTGAGAAACCTATTGTGGCATCCTTGGGATCATATAGCTCAGAGGACCGAATGATAAATTTAATTAGCATCTATTGAATCTCTTATACACAAACTGTTTTCACATGTGATTTTAATTAGTTAAGTTAGAAAATGTATGTAAAACATGTAGCAAAGTGCCCAGTAGTTAAGTGTTCAATAAATGGTAGTATTAATCCTCACAACAGCCCTCCAATTTTTGTTCATTCCCATTTTACAGAGGGAGACCCTGAAGATGGAGGGACTGGGTAGTGTCAGAGCTGGGATGCAAGTCCAGTTCTTTTAATTCTGCTTCCACACCTGAATGAATGAATGAATGAATGAATGAATGAATCGAGAGAGGAAGGAAGGAAATTTTGCCAGAGGTTCCAGGAGTTTTTCTTAAACAAAAATTAAATTGTTTATCCATCATATTGCTAAAATTTCTCAAATCCTACCATTTTTATTTCTTTGTATTAAGATTTTTTTTTTTGTCTAGGAGCTTTAGAAGGAAAGTGGAGAAACGTTTGGAAGAATGCTATGTTAAATGATTATTACTCATATCACGTCTTCTCACCTCCTATTGTACCATATTGTATTGTTTTGCCCAAGACACTGCTTCCAGACAGTAAACTTGCCTGAATCCAGGGATAGGAGCGGGCCAAGAACGAGAGGGTATAGGCATGAAGGAGCCCACCCTGGGCAATGGGGCAGGGCTTGAGGTGTGCTGGAAGGAGAACTAAGCAGTTTCTCAAGCCAGGGTTGGCTTCTTTCCCAGGGTACTGACCTCACAGTCAGCACAGAAGGGAAAATTTACACCATCTGGGCCTCAGTTTCAAGAACACTTTCAACACATAGCGATGATTATTTTTATTGAATGATAAGAGAAGCAGCGAACAACCCAAATAAATACTTTTTTTTTTCTCCTGACCTGCATTTTCAAAAGCATCAGGAAAGGACCAAGCATAGTCTAAGGCCTTGGAATCAGTGTTGTGCTTGCTTCTCTGTTGAATCAGCAGCATCAGGAGAGCTTGTTAGAAATGCTTGGCCCTAGGCCTACTAAATCAGAATCTGCGTTTTAAAACCCATGTGATTTATATATTGATTATAATGTGAGAAGCACGGCTGGGGGTGGGGTATTGATTAAAATGCAGGTGGGGGTACTTGAAACCCAGTGGTGAAACAGGAGAGCCTTATGGGAAAAGGAGGGATTAAGTATTTTCACAGATTTTCTGAATTTCCTCCAAGGCCTTGATTGCTTTTTATTCAGAATACCCCAGGCAGCAGAACCTGGTTCACGTCTCCTCTAGTTATGAAGGGCTATGGGGAAATGACATCTCCAGCTCTTGTTGCTAAGGAAACTCATCACATAGAAACTTCCACCTCTGCAGTGCTTGTCTCCTACAAGGGTACGATGTGAAATGTCAGCAGAAATTAAGGAGTTTTAAAAAAAATGTATCAACTTTGTGAGGGAAAGAAAAAGGAGAAAAGGGATTTGGATAAATATTAAAAAACAGAAATGCTATGCTTAGTAATATCTTACCAGTTTTCAAAGTAGTTTTAAACAGGCATTGCCGACAGAGACTGGGACAAGAGTACAAAAGGAGGCCCACGTGCCACAGTTAAATAAAACGTGTTTTATTTTCCCACCTACCTTATAAACATACTCTCATAAGAACAAAATTAAAATGTGTAGAAAGCTGTGGTTTTTATATGAGTAAAATTCAGAAAATAGCAAAGATGAAAAAAATTGAATTATTGTGTTTCTGAGTGTTGTATTGATGGCCCTATGAAATTTGGATGGGTAATGAAGATATCTGTAATCTGTAAATCACTAATTAATCCATAAAATATATATTTTTTTCTTGCCTTTATGTTAGCAAAAGCACTGTTGTTATAATTGAGATTTTCACATAATTTGAGCTCTGTTGAGAGCAGTGATCTAAAATGTGATCTAAGTAGGTGGCGCCTGGGTGGGTCAGTCAGCTGAGCATCTGACTTTGGCTCAGGTCATGATCTCACACTTGTGAGTTTGAGCCCCACTTTGGGCTCTGCGCTGGTAGATCAGAGCCTGGAGCCTGCTTCAGATTCTGTGTCTCCCTCTCTTTCTGCCCCTCCCGCCCCCACTCTTTCTCTCTCTCAAAATAAGTTAAAAAATTAAAAAAAAAGTGATCTAGGGGCGGCTTAGTCAGTTAAGCGTCTGACCTCAGCTCAGGTCATGATCTCACAGGTTGTAGGTTTGAGCCCCATGTAGGGCTCTGTGCGCTGACAGCTCAGAGCCTGGAGCCTGCTTCAGATTCTGTGTCTCCCTCTCTCTCTGTTCCTCCCCCACTCATGCTCTGTCTCTCAAAAATAAATAAAAACGTCAAAAAAAAAATTAAAGAAGGGAGAAAGAAGGTTGATGATTGGTAGGACTGGGCAGATATTTAATTATATAAGAATCTACAACATTCACACCATGTGAGAGGGAGGATTTGACATGTTCATTAATTTGTCTTTTCTCTTACCTAAGCACTTCCGCTGCTCCAATCCTTCCAGCGCTCTGAAGCAGCGTCTGTCCCTGATACGAGCAGTGGCACAACCCACAAACCGTCATAGCATTGGATGCAGACGTCCTTTCTTTTGAGGATATAGATCAAGAGATGTGGAGAAGTATTTCCCTGGGTCTCCAGTGGTGTTAAAAGAGTAGATGTGTGGGGCTGCCCTGCCAGCCCCGAGCACTGGATCACGAGTGACAGAGCCACCCATGTGGTCTTTAACACATGTATTTATGAGAGGGAGGGCTGTGGAACGTGGAGCTCCCAACAGTGTGGGGTCTGGGGCAGGGGTCACAAGGAAGCTTTTGGGGTGATGGAAATGTTCCATATCTTGATCTGTTTGATGGTTATGTGAGTGTATATATTTATCAGATACATGAAACTGTACACTGAGGATCTGTGCGTTGTGCTGCATGTAAATGGTACTTCAATAAAGTCCTATTAGCATAAAAAATAAAGGCTACCAGAGCATATTTTTCTGTATGTAAGCTAAGTGGGTAAGAACAATATGATTCCGTTACTCTAACACAACTATTTCAAGTATTCTTTTCTCATATGCTCACACACATGTGCACAAATACACCACGTACTTTCTTCTTCTTTTTTTAAACTTGTCTGCCGTCTCACCTCACATATAGTTTTTATGTCCTTGATATTATATTTTGAATCTTTTTCTGTGGAGATGGTTTTCACAATTATATAATGAATGCTTTCATCTCTTTACTCTTATAAATAGTATTTCCAGTCTACCTTTTTTATGTATAACATTTTAATTTTACTATTTTCTTGGCCTAAATTTCCAGATATTAGATGAATGAATAAAAGATTATGAAGATTTTAATGACTGTGTATTGAAACTCTGTATTGCAATGGTTAAGATGTTGGGCTTTGGAGTTCAGAATGAGATGGGTTCAAATTCTGGCTCTGCTTGACCTTGGATGAGCTTGGATGACCTTGATTGACCTTGGATGAGCAAATCTAGTTCAATATCACCCTTAGCATTGTTTTGAGGATTAAATGAGATGCTGCATATAAAGGGTTTGGTATGTAACTACACAATAATCACTGGATAAAATATTGTGAAACCACTTTCTAAAAGGGATCTACCAGCTTCACACCCCAAGGTCATGTACATGTATTAGTTTTCCAACAAAACCCCAGGATTGGGTGTTAGAGTCTCAGTTATTTTATGGATGAATGAGGTATTCTATTATTGTTTTAATTGCATTATTTGACTAGTGGGAAATTGGACATTTTTCAGTGTTCTTGCTATTAAAATTCTAGATTTCTCCTTAAAAAAAATCTTCCATCTGCTTTTCACATGCCTTTTATTCATTGCTGATTTATAGACAAGACTTCAATACTAAGTCTTATGGTTTGGGTTAACCATTGCTCTCATACAGGGCCCAGTAAAAGAAGGAAAATGGGTTTGTGTTATTTCTGATCTGGCCAATGAGAAAGAGAAGTGAAATGCGTGACCCCGTGGGATGGCCCTTCCTACCAGCCTGGCAACTGATTTCTCAGAGCTGTTGGTCTACAAGTGTTTTCCTGGCAGTCAAGTCTGGTCTAGTTGTGGGGGTGAGAGGGCGGGGTGGGTGGGAGGAGGTTCATTTTAGTGAAAAGGTGCATTCCTTTACTGTCATTATCCGACCGATTAAATGAGTTAATCTGTGAGGTGCATTGTCAGGGCCAGCTCACAGCTGGTGTTCATTAGTATTACTAGCAGAGAAGTGTGCTGCACAGAGACTGAGACTGGGGATCCTGGGCCCATTCCTAGTCCACCTAAGTGGCAAACTCTTCCATTTTTTTCTGTTCACCAGATTCTCTTGGCAAAGTAGAAGTGTGGCAAGATCCGTCAAAATTGGGGCTGCCTTCCCTCTTCGGTCCAGACCACACTTTGTTCCCCTAACTTACTTATTTAGCAATTTGGTTCTTTTTCTCTTCAGACCATACTTTTAAATCCCAGTGTGACTGAACTTTCAGAACAGCCAGAGTGGGAGGCTGAGGGTTTTACTCCCTTTATTCCTGATCAGTTGCAAACTCAGACTGCATAAAGCCGTTATCAGCAGTTCCCTGCCCTCTGCCGTGAGGGTGGGTGCAATCAGTAGGAAAGGTCCTGCCCCAGAGCCTGCATTGCTCGCTCAGACTGGGCAGTGGACGACACAGGGGTGTTGCTTACTGCCTTCCTAAGCTGAGTTTCCATGGGATGTACTAGGTTTGTTATTCCACCACCTAGGAGGCTGTTTGTGCAACTTTGATGCCTTCTGCATCTCTGGAACTGTGGGTCCTGGGTAGCATACAATCTCACGCCTGTATACTTATCAGGGATAGAAAAGGGACAAGTTTTTCCCCGATCTATTTGTAACTTTGTGCAGGATAGAAATTGTGTTGATGTTGAATGATCACCTCCCCTTGCCTTATGAGGGTTGAAAGAGATAAGCTTCTGCCTAATCCATGTACATCAAAAATAGCAAGCAGCAAACAGGAAGCCTCCACACAGGACCAAGGGGCCAGGCAAAGTGCATCAGGGACCACCACTTCGGTGGGTTATCATTGCTCAGGCTCAACTGTTTCTAGAGAAGGAAAAGCCATTTCACAACAGAGGACACTGAGACTCAGAGTGTTCTTGCTCTGGCAGCCTAGCTAGAAGTTGGCAGAAACCGCCCTTCCCATGTGGGGGAAGGGCTGTCTGGGTTCTTTCCCACTGCAGAGGAAGGTGTTCCTTTAGACTAAAGAGCTTCCCAACCCCATCTATGCAGCAGTGGAGAGCAAGGCCCTCCAGCAGCAGGCCTGGTTTTTTATGTCTCTTTTGGGGCTGAACCGACCTTGCCCCTATTCCAACAGGCCCATAGATGTCAGGCATCACTAAAAGCTGGGTGTGTCTGAGGTCATCTCCATGCTCTGGGTCAGCCCTGAGTCTGAGAAACTCACATGATCTGTTGCAGCCAGCCAGATGGGGTCATGAAGCTCCTTTGCTGGGAAATCTTCAAGGATAACCCTATCCCTCCCTGGCTGGGGGCCAAGCTCTTTCAGCAAAGGCAAACCAGCTCATTTCTATGCTTGAAAAACAAATTCTAAATTTTAGTCCTGTTCATTTGGTAACCTCAGGTGGGAAAGGTCTCTGTTGAAAGGCTACGCAGACCTCTACAGATTCCCACAACGAGAGACACTAGTTATCCTCTCAGCGGTGGTCAAAGACAGTGCTCCCGAAGACCAAGGGTCTGGGAATCCTATCACAGAAGGCTGAGATTTGCCCTCTTAGAGTCAGGTGATCCCAGGCTGAGCCCACCTCCATGCTTAAATTAGATGACCACAGGCAGGGTCAGAATCTCTCTGGGTCTCCATTTCTTCACTTAAAAAATGAGATGGGTTGGGGGATGGTTGGCTTAACTCACTTCTGTTGTCCATTTTCAGCTCTTACCTCCTTAAAATGTCAAAAGCACACCTCAAATATTGAGGTACAATAACGATATATTTTATAATCTTGGTTTTTCTTTGGGGTCATTATCTCTTTTTTTTTTTTTTTTTTCAACGTTTATTTATTTTTGGGACAGAGAGAGACAGAGCATGAACGGGGGAGGGGCAGAGAGAGAGGGAGACACAGAATCGGAAACAGGCTCCAGGCTCCGAGCCATCAGCCCAGAGCCTGACGCGGGGCTCGAACTCACGGACCGCGAGATCGTGACCTGGCTGAAGTCGGACGCTTAACCAACTGCGCCACCCAGGCGCCCCTCATTATCTCTTAAATATGCTCCCTCAGGCATGCAAAAATAATAACCCAGCTCTATTTTTGAATATGCCACTTTCCCAGACCACTGGGAGATTATATTCTGAAAAACTCTTCCATTATGTAACTCCTATTTCTGCTTAAATTTTCTATGTTGGTGTCCATTTGTAACTTACATTTTGTTATGAACAATTTGAAACATATGCACAAGAATTATACAATGAACTCTCATGGACCCATCAACCAACTTCAACAATTATCCACATTTGTCAGTCTGGTTTCATCTCCCCCTCCCCTTGCCCCATACATTTTTGGTAGGGGGTAGTGCCTGAGCATTTTTAATCAGACCTTAGGCTTATGTTATTGTTAAATACTTTAGTTCATGTATAAAACAGAGAAGGCCCTCCCTTTTTGCCAAGTAGAACTACAGTGCCATTATTGCATCCACCAAAATTAACAGTGAAACAGGAAATTAGTGAATTTTTAGTGAAATCAGGGTGGAAAGACGAAGGAGGGGTAAAGGAGCTCTGGCCTGGGTTTACCTGCTTTCCTCCAGAGAGAGTGGTAGAATTCATTGAGAAGGGTCTTGGCATTTAAGTTGGCACTTGCCCCCAGCCTAACAAGACTTTCAGAAAGCATATATGGGAAAGGCCTTTCCAGATCAAGGGATATAACTAGCATTTGCTGAGCATCATGTACATCCTGTAAGTGTCATTTCCTTGAACCTTCACACAAAAGCCCAGAAGTGGAAACCAAGGCTCTGGGAGGAGCTTCCCTAATATAACCTTCTGATTGGTCAACATTGTAATATCAAAACGTTACCCCAACTCCAGGCTGAATCAATGGGAGATTCCTATTTAGCATCAATGTACAAGACTGTTTGACTCATGCCTTAATCTAACTTGATGTTTAACTGCTGTAGAAACAATAACCAGTTCATTTTTTGAGATTCCCTGGGAAACAGTTAAATGAGGATAATGATATCTTAGGCAGTGAGAGTTGAAAATGCCTTTCTCTTTTCAGCCCAGGTGAAGGATTTCCATTCAGTCTTCTCCCTTCTCTAATCTCTTTTTCCTAAATGGATAGAATACAAATCATAGGGCCTATAGATCACTCTTAGGGTTAGAGGACATTTGTAGGTTTGTGCTTGAACGATTTGAATTTTTGCCTTGAAAATATGTACCTCTTTATTCAGTATGGAGCATCTTTAATTAGCAAAATGGGGAAGTGCTTCCTTAAACATGCTTGGCAGTGGGAAGAGTCCCCTTGAAGTATTCTGGAAGGGGAAAAAATAAAAAGGCATTGAGGTAACTAAGGAGGGAGGCAAAAAGGAAGGAATTAGGGAGGGAAGGAAACAAAAGCAAAGAACCTTCATAAATCTCAGATTGATTTTATGACCCAGCTTGAGATGAACTCTGATGATTTATGTTGTTTGTATTTAAAATGTCCTGCAGACCTAAAGTAGTAGGCAGATACCTGAGTACCTGCCTTGATAATGAGACCATCCTAGCAGGTATATTGTGAAGCTACCTAAGCTTAAACTTCAGGGCCCCTTCCTTGCACTGGTCCCTCCTAAAACCTTGGGAGAGGCTCTAGAAGTGTGCTTCTGTGCTCATGGGTATAAGCTTCAAACCACACAAAACCCAGATCCATTTCTGCATCTCAGGAATCAAGTGTGCAAGAGAATAGTGTGCATATAACCATATTTTGATAAGTCCCAGATTTCCTGAGTAGTGAAGCTTCCATTTCTTCCTTTTAAAATTCTCTTTGTAATTTACAAGGATTTAACCTAATTTGTATTTCATTTGTGCAGATGAAATCATGCAACAGGAAATCAGGCCTTTGGTGGCAGTGGATATAATTGAACAACTTCACAGACAGTTTGCCATTCTCTCAGGTAAGGGGCAAATTAGTTTGTATTTTAGATTTTGTTGTGGGGGCAGGGGTCTTGTCGGGAGGGCCCAGTACACGCAAATCTTAATGAACCCTAATGAACAGTACACCCAAGTCTTAATCTTAAGCCTCTCTCAGACCTAGAATGAACTGAGAAATGTCCATCTGGAGGAGGGTAGATCTCAGAGATATCATTCCTGTTGCTGTTGGGTGTCATTTAATCTTTCCTAAGGGAGTACATTTCCTTGAGGTTGTAAAGAACAGAGCCAAAAAGATTTTGAGGAAGGAAAAAGAAATGGCTATTGATATCAGCTGCCATCATGACATTTTCCCAACATTCTTCTTGGATATTTTTCCAAGATCCAACCTTTAGAGAGTTTGGTTTTGAGGGTTCACGAGCACTGGTGAGGTTATTTGTTCTTTGAGAGATTTGTCTTTTATTCTTAGCTCTTATGGACCTAATTTTAATGCATTGATTTCCATTGAACATTTGGGAATAAAGAGAGGCTAATGTTCAGAAGAGGCTAGAAATTTTCTGAGCCTAGGCACAACCCTGAGAAGCTGTCATTACCAGAACACTCTTCTTTCTTATTCACTTAGCTAATGGTGACATGACTTTCATTACTGAAACTGGAGGTACATACCAAACCCTGAATTATATTTAGACCTGTCTTAGAAGTATGGCATGAAATTAGTTGTCCTTAGCACATGTCACAGAGGAATAGATGGCAAGTCACTTTCCTCATCTTTACATCTGTTCTGAAAAAAAGCAACAAAGCCACCTTAGTTCCATTTCAGAGAGTATGTAGTTGGTATGAATTTAACTCTACAACATGGGATGTAAAAAAAAAAAAAAGGCGCATTTCTTTCCTTTTGCTAAATCATATTTAATCTGCTCCAAAATCTTAATCCTACCGAGTTTGAGGGAAATGCAGTCTCCGTTATTGGGATACCTCTCCCATCCATGAGTCACATCCTGGGTGGGGACATCTTACACAATCCAGACATTCTGGGGAATTCTCTGGTCTTTCCTCCACATTGATCACTGCTCATATAGTTACTGAAAGCTCCATAAGCAGAGTCCTCATTTTTTTTTATTTCTTCCTGTATCACTTAGAACAGAGACTGTGATATAATAAGTGCTCAGTTCAGAATTATCCGAGTCCTCCTGGTGTATCCTGTGAGTCCTGCTCCTCCATCGCTGCCGTAGGCAGCCCAGTGTTGGCCCTGGCGGGAGTGCCTAACCAGCCTCCTGAAGGTGCAGCCTCCTAGCTTCTCACAGTGAGCCTAGGACACTGAAAAACAAAAGGCAGGGTGGGGACTGCCCTCTGGGTTTTTGGCAACTGCTGCTGTGGTCTTATGGCACAGAAGGCTGCAACGCTAATGGGCATCCAGGTCTGGAATGGATGAAGGCGTGAGGTGAAGTGGATTTCTGTAGCCTTACACCAAAACCCTAATGCCCCAGCACATGATTCTGGCATAGATAATGGCTCATCTGGGGAAGAAGTCTAGTGACCAATTAATGTGTGCATTTAGTGCTCCAAAGTTACCTCCTTTGAGTGTTACTGAAGTGCTTCTCTCTATTCTTATTTCTTAGGATGACATAGGGAAACATAAATGGGTACCAGACAGCCCTAGATACGGATTTAGGTTCTGCTGTTGACCAGCTGCATCTCTTTGGCAACTTAATTCCTAAGCCTTACTTTCCTCATTGTATAATGAATGGGTGGGATCATCATAACTTGGAGGATTAAAGATGCAGTGTATGAAAAATGCTTATTAGCATTGCAACTGCCAACTGTATGAGTATTTTTCCTGGTATATTTTAATCCCATAGAAATGTTTATTTTAGGATTATATTACAAAGAATAGTTTTCAGTATGATATAGTTTGTATAAGGAACCAAAGCTATGCTCACAGTTGAAGTGGTGTATGATGCCACAACGAAGTCAGTAATAGAGATAATTGTCACTCTTTTTAAAAAAAATTTTTTTAAAATGTTTATTTATTTTTGAGAGAGAGACAGAGCATGAGCGGAGAAGGGGCAGAGAGAGGAGACACAGAATCTGAAGCAGGTTCCAGGCTCTAAGCTGCCAGCACAGAGCCGGACATGGGGCTCAAACTCATGAACCACGAGATCATGACCTGAATCGAAGTCAGATGCTTAATCAACTGAGCCACCCAGGCGCCCCTAATTGTCACTCTTTAATGTAGAACATTGAACTATAAACACGCACATTGGACCAAGAGGACAGCTCTGCTCTAGGAAAGTCACTTTGTGGCAAAGACAATCCTTTCATTTTCTAGCTTCTTTTGTCATGTTGTTGCCTCAAGTTTCCCCATCCTATGAGAGAGAAGCATGGATTAGCTGTGGTAGGATTTGCAGTATTGCAAGTCTGGAAGAATATCAGTAGCCAAGAATATCAAGTTCTCTGAGTCAGCACTTTCTTGGAATTACTAGGCTTGCTTTTCATCGTTACCTGCCAGTGGCAGCCAATGTCAGCAATGAGGCCCTTGTGGGTACCTGTGTAGCTGTAAAACAGAAATCTCTGCACTCAGGTCTTTTCTCAGCCCTGTGGCCACCGAGCTGTGGCCTCTGTTCAGGGTCACAGCAGTTCTCCTGATTCAGGCAAGCAGGGTGAGGATGTCCCAGCTGCAGACTTTGTGCAGATTCCACTGAGCTCTGGAAAGAGCTGGGGCCCCATCAACCAGGAATGCTGGGAAGGACAGGATGGAGCTTTTTCTTCAGTGAGGCCCCAGTTGCCTGCCTGCCGTGCTCCGTGAGTGTGCTCCCATGGCTGGTGGGAGAGCAGGGACTCACTGCACCATGGATGACCCAGATTTGTGGCCAGATGGTTTGAAGCCTTTGGACGGTGAGGTCTGTGAACAGGGGCCACCAGCAGGAATTGGATAGTGACCAGGGCTGGGCCTCTGCTAGCTCTTGACTTGAAAGACAACTGGCATGTTCCCAGTGAACTTGGGATATTTCTAAATTTAGGGCTTAGCTAGGAAACAAGAGAATATAAGCAGGTTAATGTGGTGGAAACACTCTAGGCTTTGGACTCAGATAATTCTGTGTTCACATTCCAACATGATTAGATTGTTGCTGTGAACCTCAGGCTTCTCATTGGTAAAGTGGGTTCTTTTAAGGAAAGTGTGTCATGTGGTATCTGGCTATAAGAGAACCTAGCCTATAGGACTTGTTTGTTTGTTTTCTAAGCCACATAACAGAGGCCCAAAAGTAGAAATTCCTGGTATTGGGCCAGTGGCTCAATGACATTAAGGGTGCATCTTTGTGGTTCTCTCGATGTTTCTCTTGTTTTTAGTCTTAATGTCAAAATGGCTGCTGTAGCTCCACACATCAAGTCTGTGTCCAAAGCAGGAAGAAGGAAAAGGAGCAATGCTGGCTTCTTCTGTCCCTTTTGCCAGGAGAACAAAAATTTTCCCTGAAGCTCTTGGTAGACTTCTGATTATGTCTCATCCTGGAATTGTGTCATGTAGCCATTTCTACCAGCAAGGAAGTCAGAAAAGGCAAACATTAGCTTTTATTTATTTATTTATTTATTTATTTATTTATTTATTTATATTTATTTATTTATTTTTATTTATA